ATATTATATTTTCTGATGAAGCCACTTTCTCAACCAATTGTACTGTTTCATCTCAGCATGTGATGTACTGGAGCAATCACAATCCCTATTTCCGAATCGCTCGTAATCGACAATATTCGGCTAAAGTTAATGTATGGTGTGCAATTTCTTATCATGGTATAATTGGACCATATTTTTTTGAAAATACGGTTAGTCAGCATACGTATTTAGATATTTTACAACATTTTCTAAATGAAAGGTTGGACGATCTACCGATTAATTATCGTGCAAGGTGTTACTTTCAACAAGATGGTTGTCCTGTCCATTATGCTCGAATAGTTGTAGAATGGTTGAATTAGCAATTTGGAGAGAATTGGATCGGCCGAAATGGTCCTGTTTTATGGCCACCGAGGAGGCCTGATTTGACTATTGCAGATTTTTACCTTTGGGGCCGTTTGAAACAAATAGTTTATGCGAATGATCTTCCTCCGAATGTAGAACGTTTGAAGGAGAAAATCAAAGATGCTGTGGCGTCTTTACCGCTGGAAGAGATCAGAAACAGTTATAGGGAACTGCGTCGCAGACTTGAGCTATGCGTTCATGAAGGTGGTGAATGGATCGAGTGAAATTTATTAGTAGTTTAATTATTTTGTTGAATTGTAATAAAAACTTAATAAATGTTCGTTTTAGACTGACAATGAAACGACTTGATTTTTGTTGAATTGTTGCAATAAAAACTTAATAAACAATAGTCGTGTTAACTGTTGCCATGAAAACGAAAAGTAATTTTTGGGACTTAAACAAATCGTCACCCTAATATAACAAGGTTGTATGTTAAAAAACCGAAAAATTTTAGTTTATGCTTCTACAAGGTTTTTTGTAATCCACCCTTGACATACAACTTGAAAATAACTCTATATATATGTAAAAATAGAATATACATTCTATAGAATTATTTTTAAGTGGTATGTGAAGCGTAGGCCACGTATAATCCTGTAGAAACATAGACTTAAATTTTTCGTTTTTTTTAACATACAACCTTGTTATATTAGGGTGACGAAATACTCAACTAAAAGGACCTATTTTTTCATGTTTCTCTTGAACGGAAAGAAAATTTGAAACGGTGGAAACTGATTCAGCAATTTTGAAACAAGCAAAAACTATTATGAAGAATACATTTTTCTCGTAAAATGAAAAATAAAGAAGTTTCTCCTCTTGGCAACCCTATCCGGGGACATACTGTATATATATATATATGTATATACCTATATGTATATGTTATGGCTAATGTGCAAACTTGGATAGTTTATAAACTAGCTGGATAGTTTATAAACTAGCCAAACTGTCAGCTATTTTAATTGAAAACATATTTTCAACTAAATTAGCGGCTAGTTTACAAAATAACCAAGGACCTTGGCTAATTTACTTGAAATTATTAGGGAAACTAAAATAGCTGGATAGTTTGTATACTATCCAATTCAGTTTTGGCTAATATGAAAACCAAAATTTCTAGTAACACAAAATAGCCAAGCTTTAGCTAGTTTGTAAACAAACCAACCAATTCTCTGGCTAATTTATTAAAAAAGTGAGGTTACGGCATTGTTTTTCGTTTTGCCGGCTTAACCGGATTTGTTTTGTGCATTTTAACGATTTTAAAATGAATCATAGGCAACATTTTAACGCTTCCTTGTTAGAAAACTCAACAACACAACCCAACCAAACTATTAAAAATAGAAAGGTGAGTGATGGCTTATTTTTAAGTCCTATTAGAGAACTTTTATATGATATATCACATGTTACAAAATTTAAAATATACATTTAATTCTACCTTAGATACCTTCAGCAATTAAGTCATAGATAATAAATCATATAGATACGCCACTGTCACATATTTGACGCTCCTTGTTACGCACACTCGGCCCGCTATGCCGCTAGTGTACCCGCCTGACATTTATTGGTTTTAGGTTATGGTTTTAATTGAGGTTATCCTGTCAAATTTTGACAGTCAAAATAGTAAAAAATAAAAGGCCTGATAGTTTATTTAAATTGTTTATTTGAAAAGCAAAAATAAATGTATTATATTTTAAATTATTCAAGGTATTTACTAAACTAAACCAATTAACAATATAATAATGTATTCAAGTGAATTTTATCTTATTAAAGAACACAAATCAGTATAAAGTAATAATATTATGTACCACATTTGTGTAAGTACCTTGTTTTAATAAAATAGTTATAATTGAATAATACAATACAACCTTGTCATCATTGTGAAAAGTATGCATCATAACTTGACTGTTAGAGCAGCCCACAGCACAGCACAACACCATGTTAATGTTCAAATAATGTAGCAATATATAAAAAATAGAGTACACAGATAACGATAAATCGCAATTATAAAAGTTTTTAAGCGTACAGAACAAACCAAATAAACAATATGAATTTACAAAACTTTACAAAATTTATCAAACTGAAGTTTGTTGATTTCGTTACCAAGCAACCGTCAAGATTAACCGCCGCTCCTGCCACATGCAACTCGAGTGTAAACTAAAACCAAAGTCGACTAGACAAAAATGTGGATTTTGTTTGTTTAAGGCGAGTGCACACTGTGCACTGCACAGGGCATGAATTAAGTGAATTACGGCGCATTGGCATAGAGAGACAGACCAGCCCTAAACCTAAAACAAAATAAATATTTATGAGCATTTATGTCAACTAATAAATAACGCGTACCCCTGGTATGAGCTCAACCAATAACAGCAAACGGATAAGTCCGTAATAACAAATTCCCAATAAAGAGTCACCAACATACAGCCCCAAAACTATCTGGAGGGCCAAGATAGTTCTGCGCCAAGCCAGTTTGTTAACAACCAGCTGGAAGGCCAAGCAATACTGTTTAACTCAGTGGAGAGCCGACATGAGCTAGGGCAATACAATATTGATCATCTAGGTTATGCAATAGACTTGAGGGAGCACCACTCCAAATCTAACCTCGTGAAATTCACAAACAGCGAACCGTAAATTGGGACAATGTACTACCAATTCATTAAAATCAACTACGCTAACAATAAATACTCAATAGGCTAATAACCTACCTCTTTTCCACGGTCTTATTGGCACCTTTTCAACAAAATTTATTTAATTCACTGTCAAACTAATAATGACAGAATGCCGGAAAATCACAGAACAAATGGGTAAAAACACGGCAAACGTGCTTATGTTCCTTTGCCGCTAGATGGTGTTATGTGCATAATAAACTCAATTTTATTAAAATATTTTATTTTTAAAAGTTAAACAGAAATATCTTGTTACATTCGGCCATCCTGAGATATTGCTTCGTCCCGAAGCACTTCTTCCTCAGAATCGCTCAGAACCACTCCATCTTCATCTTCGGCATTAGGTCCATCTGTTTCATCAGACACTCTACTTAAATAACAAAATAACGTTTCAGGAATTTGATAACTGCCAGCCTTCGCACCCGTCCTTATTACGACATCAGAAATCCCACCAATTATACATGATACAGCATTAATGCTAGTAATTACTACCTGTTATTTCTAACTCATTCAATAAGGACAATTTACAATAGTAATAAGTAGTATAGTTTTCTTCTGGTTTCTTTACACACATGACCTACATTTTTTCAAAAAAAAAATTTTGAAAATTTGATATGGACTGACCCATACTTTACAAATTATCTCTAAAACAAATCATTTTATCAAAATTTTTTAAGAGACAAAACATTTTCAACAATAAATGATTACCTGAAAAAATTCCGTTTGGAAGTCATTGGCGCACGTACTAAAAAATAGGGGGAGTCAGTGAGTACTGGACCCCCCTATTTTGATTATTTGACAATTGTTTTTTTGTTTTGTTGGTCTTAAAAAATGTAACTATTTATGTTGAAGTAGTGTACTGAATTTAAACTTAGTATCTTATCAATTACTCGAATTATTTAAAAAAATCAGTTTTTAATTTCAAACTTTGTCGCCCTGTATATCGAACATGAAGCTCTAAATTGAAAAATGGTATTATGAAAGTCTTATTGTTTTAACTCAAGGAATATATGGTTAACGGATTGACCTCCTTTTCCCGGACACCCTGTATATATTGAGGAGAACATTCTGTTAAATTTTGAAGGATTTTCGTTCAGTTCCTCCGGACGAAAAAATGCATTTTTTTTCTCCAAAAATGGGAAATTTTCAAAATTTATGATGGTATTTCCTGCAATTTGGATACTTTTTTATAATTTCGCATTTTATATTTTAATCAATATTTATAATTACTTTAAATAAAAATATACACCAAATCAAATTTTCATAGCCTACTATATAATATCAATGGCAGAAAATTGACATTTTCAGTTAAAAGAAGCGTATATTTAGCACTAAAAAAATGCATTTGTAAAAACATTGTATAATTTTAAGCATAAATTTAAAAATTACATTATTTTATGCTTAAAACAAAATATTACGCGATACAAAATATTACAAAATCTTAGTTATAAAGGGTTTTCTTAGACACCGTTTTGGTAATTTTTTATGCAAACCGGTCAACATGGTCCTGTCTAATTCCTCAGGGTGTTTAAATAAAAAAAGATTATTGTGGTTTTTGTTCATCCTAAGCATTGGCCTTCACACCCTGAAAGTTGTAAGAAAAGATCAGCTTTCAATTTTTGTCAAATTTGGTGAAAAATGATAGAATGACTCATATGTTAAGCCGTTATAACTTATTAGTTATCAGCCAACAAAAAGCCGGACGAGTAAATTTTGGCCGGACACGATCGTTAAAAGCTAAACACGACTGGCAACCCTAGTCACGGCCTACTGTTATTTATTTATCAAACTCTTCAAATGGAGATACAACCTTGAGATACTTAAGACTACAAACACTAAATTTTCACTTCTAACTCATATACTTTCGGAGATATTAACGAAAATATAAAATTGGGCGCATTTTGTATCCTAAAAACTACCAGAGATTTTTATGTAAAAAACTAATTTTTGTATTTTTTTTATTAGGAAATTTCGCCATACAACACCAGAGAAAGGTCCCACGAAAGGGGAGATTCAAGGGAGAATCGCGACAGAGACAAACAATATCCTTTTTATAATAAGTTTTAAGTTTACATTTATGATAAGTTTACCCCATTCACTTTCATTTTATATAAAAAAAAATAAACGTTCATTTTCGTAGTTAACATTTTGTTTCATTGGTTTTGGTGCATGCGCTTTTTGTATAATTGGTTTGTGGGATGTTTGGCATTTGTTTTATTAGAGTGCGACAGTGTTTTTTCCTTAATGCAGCTTACTAGAAGGACGACGGAAAACAAGAGAAGATAACCGAAGAAAACGGAGTGGAAATTTATTTTTACCTATCTTATTGGCAAAACTGTCAAATAATGTATATTTTGTATGTTAATCATGCGATAATAAATCAAGTAATTAAACATACAAATCTGAGTTTTATTTTTTTATCAATAAGATCTTACTTGACAAAATTGTGATTGTCATGGAAACAAAGCATCAGTTTGACTGTATGCTAAAAGTGAGGTGGTTATTTATTTGTCAAACAGTTGTCGGATGGATTTTGACAGTTTATTTCAAAACCCTTGAAAAGTAAACTTTTTTATTGTTAAATTGCTTTAAAACTAAAATATTTCAAAATCAAACAAAAAAGACTTGGTTACAAATTTTATTAGGCACTTGAAAAATTAAGTACAAAGTTAAAAATTCATCTTTAAAGGTAAATAAAGTACTATGATATAATATAAAATATTTAAGTTTTGGCCATTGACTAGCATTAGGCACAATTATTACACTATAAAAATCACACAAAAACTTGGTTTTAAACCAGATTACTCCCTAAAGTAAATATAATAATAATTCTTAAACTTTCTTAATGAATGAATTGTATAAGTACACTATAGAAAATATTTGGCACAATTCTATCAATATTAAGTAACTTTTAATTTGACTAGTTTACAATATAAAATATAAATTTATTAGTTAGGGCTATTGTCTAATAATAACTTTTTGCAAGATAAAGGCTTCAATTTGGGCAATAAACTCCTTTTTCCAATACTGTGGACTTTTTTCTGATGATTTTGTAGCAAAAAATTTCTTGTAAACGAGGCATCACATAAATTGCATGTAAATGGCTTCTCTCCTAGGAAAAAAGTCAATAAACACTAATACATAACCAAACAAACAGTATTAAAAGTACCTGTGTGAATTAAAATATGCCTTTTTAGGTCTGTAGGCCATCCAAACTTCTTAGGACAAAAGTTACATTCATATTTTTTCAAGACTTCCTTCTGTTTGTCGACACTTTTTTCCTCCATTGTAACCATGCAGAATTTTAAGGGATTCACATCCTCCACGCCAGAATCATTACCATTATCCACTCTAGTAACATCTTTCCTAACATTTAGTGGATTTAAATTGGGAATTTTCTTGTTCTTAACACTTTTATGATCGATGAGTAACTCATCGATTACATGTGAAGAAAAATGCTGCAGCAATGCAGATGCAGACTTAAATTCCTGTTTGCACTCAGAACAAACTAATTCTAAAACAAAGTCACTCATTAAGAACTGTTTTATATAAAAAAATAAATTGTAAACATACCTGATAACACTTGCATTTTTTCGAGGTTAAAATCACTGAAATTATAAACAAACCATTCACCTACGAATCCAATTACGTAATTGTTGCACGATATAATTATAATTTAAAATATTGATGGTTGTTTTTCTAAAAATCTCTTTCATGATTTTTAGTGGGCCTCGGCCGCCATTTTTGTTGTTAACCAATAGAAACCGGAACATCCGGGCCGGCCATAGCTCACTTTATCCAAGACATGTAGTTTTAGTGAAGAGCAGCAACGAGAAAATTGTTGTTTTCCACCTTTTTAGTGCAATCAATTTAAAAACAAATCGGTAAGTTATTTAATTAATTGCTACCACTCGGCATGAATACTTGTATTCACATAATTCGATTACCTTAATATTTTAACGTTTGACAGCAAAATTTATCTTATCAATTATTTTTGTATACCTACGCAGATAAAAATGGGAAGCTTAAAGCCGATAAAATCGTTATGCTGACATATCTGTGGCCGCCATTTTTATCGGTCTAACCGACTAATTCGGCCTTGTTGTTAAAAAATGGTATTAACAAATACCTACCTACATATTTATTGTTGAATTTTTTTACGACGTCTCATGGAACTTATTTATAACTATGAGAAAAGGATAAAAACGTTAAAAAAACTATAAAATTTACTTGGACGCCATTTTGGATTTTTGAACTGTCATTTTACCTAAATAAATCATTATGTCTACCTTATTGTACTTTTTATGCATAAATTACGTAAATGAACATTATTTAAAGAACGATTTGTTTATTTATAAGTTTTTTCTGGTTATGTTTTACATTTTTATACCTATGCATATTTCGAACACCCTATATATGCTATGACTTGAAGGTTATATGTAGGTACATAAATTCTTAAATTGAGTTGTTTTGTAAACTGAATTTAAGGGTGATTTTGTGTAGTTTTGTTGTTATTTCGTTAAATATTTCGTAATATTTTAGGTTGGTATTATTGTAAAGCTGCACGTGGGCCTTGGCCAATAGACATTTTGTTAAATTTAGGTAACATATAACATGGCGGCTTTAGCTTCTTAACGGATTCGTAAACGACACAGGACATTTTATTTTAAGACCATGGCCGAATATACCGGTTTCTTTGCTTATTAATTAATTAAGTGACGTTTCATATATTAAATATACATTGATTTCATCTACTACGTGACAGTTCAAGAGTGATTTATTGATTTTTCGAAAATACCTTTTATATTGTCAAAATTAGTGGACCAAACGTGTTTAACTCAGTTTTAGATCTAAGTTATTGAAAGATTTTCCCGTTGTCGGCCATATTGGTACTACGATGTTTCGGCTACGTTTCCACTGACCATAGTACCATAGAAAACCAGCACCTACTTGTTTTGAGGTAAGTTAGCGTTGTTTTTTGAGTACGTTGATGTTATTTTGTAAGACAGGGCCGTACTTGACTAAATTTGCCCTTGTAAGTAACAAAGCAATACATTTTAATACAATTCAATGTTTTTTCTTCTTATATCAAGAAAATGGACAATGCATTGAAAAACTTCCTAAAAACCACAGGATGGAGTCCGGAAGATTTGCTTCAAAAACTAGCGCAGTACAAGTCTAACGAAACTCAAAATATCGAAGAAACTGCAAATAAAACGGAACAAGTCGAAGAGAAAACCGAAACTTCGGAAGAAAGCACCTCGCCGATTGAAGAAGAAGAAAATGCACAAGAAGCAGACGGGAACGATGACGATGATGATGAGTATGAGGAGGACGTTTCGAATTGTTCGAGTAACAGTAGCGGCGTTTTTACCTCGGATTTAAATGAAAATAATAGTGAAGAAAATTTGGAAAGTAACGCGATAGAGAGTGAAGAAAATTCGGATAATGAAGAAAATAATGTAGATAATTTGGAAGATAAATTTGAAGAAGAAAATACTACTGATGAAAGTGAAGAAAAGAAAGTTTCTTCAAATAATAGCGATGTAAATGAAGAAATTAATGTTGTGGCCATAAATAACTCAAAGAAATTTTTTTATAAAAATCAAGAAGAAGAAAATGCCACCGATAGTGAAGAAAAAGAAGATATTTCAAATAATGTCTATACAAATAAGAATATTTTAAATGATAGTGTAAATATAAAAGATATTTCAAACGGCGAAGAAACTGATAGTAGATTTAAGGAAAATTCTTTAAATAATGAAGAAAACAAAAAAAAGTTTAATGACACTCATAATGAAGATATTGCAAATAATGAAAAAAATTACAGTGGCAAAAATAAATACAATGAAGAAAAAATTGAAGATATTTCATGTGACAGTGAAAATAAAGAAGACTCATTTAATGAAGATGAACCCATAGAAGACACGCGTCACGACAAATTCTTCGATAGCGATGAAAAAGAAGAAGAAATCGAAGAAACAACGACGGAATCGATTGAAGATATTCGTAACAATTTGAAATTGCAGCTGAGCTCCTTGCGTAACCGAAAAAAACAGCACGTCATACAAGAAGTGACGACGAAAATTGTGGAAGCCAACAAAATCGAAGAAAAAAAATTAATTGAACCGCCGCCGATAATCGAAGAAAAAGAGGAAGATCTTATATCCCAAACAAACGAGTTGGGATTGGTGATATTAAACGTCGAAGGTGGCGTGGATTTCGATGAAACCGCGACTAAAGAACGTTTCGAATTTGAGGAAGATTTATCTGAAGACGATGAAGATGAAGAAGAAAAATCGGAGACGAGCGTTTTTGCGGAAATTCGTAAAATAATTGGCAAACCGAGAAATAAGTCGAAATTAAAAATGCCCAGCACGAATTTTGTAAAGCCAATGGCAACTCCGGTGGCTACGGTTAACGTATCGAGCATTAAAAAAATACAGGAGCAATCTACCGAACAATCGCCTTTCGTGAGTGACGAGTTGGATAAATTTTTGACAGCAGGTTCGAACTTAAATATCAGTTACAACGTGCCAAAGTCTGGAGCGGAAGAGGGCTTAATCGATCAATATAGAGCCGAAAGTCCGATACAAGAAAAAAGCAACGAAAGTACCGACATAAAATTAAAGGAAACCAAAAAGGAAGAAGAAGATATTTTACAAATGCCAAAAATAAAAGCCAAAACTTTGGCCGAAAAGAGGAAATTGTTGGAAAAACATCTAAAAAAAGATGTGTTATTACGGAAGTCTCTGGAGATGATTCCTTCAAAGGAAGAACCACCTCTATTAAAAAAAGCCCGCGAAGAAATACTTCTCGACGACGATATAACCATAAACAGTTTACTGAGTAAAAGTTTCGAGAAAAAAGAAAAGAGAAGCATACCGCCGAAACAAAAAAAATACTACCATCAAAACTTGAAGATGAAGGCGGAATCCATGTACCAAACAATCACCCCCGCAGTAACTTCAAAGCCAAAAATCCAACCGGGCTTTCTTCAGTCCAAAGAACGCAGCCTTTTAAAGCCCATAATAAGAAGAAAAGCCATTATGTACAACGGAGAAAAAGTGTATGTGGCAAGCGAGTCGGGAAAACTAATATGCAACATAAAGGATTCCATTGCCATAAAAGCAGCTAAAAGAAAAAAATTGGAGGAACAAATTAAATTGGAGGAAAAGATCAAACTAAAAGAAAAAATCAAATTGGACGAAAAACCCGAACTTAACAAAAAAATGTCGCTGTGGTACAACAAAAAGCAAAAAATCCACTACAAACCAGGCCCGCTTTCCAAAAAAATGAAGCTGGAAATAAACCCATGCAACGATTTTAAAACAGACATAAAAAAATTGCCCAGGCCCATTTTGGAGGTGGTGCCATCTTACGGCAGACCTATGGACCCGAAAATAATCCATCTACTACCAAAAAGTGACGGTAAGATCACTGATTTCCAAATCGAATTCGCTTTGGCCGCGTTAAAACCACAAAAAAAAGAAGCAATGACTATTTTTGGAATACAAGTGCCATATGAGCATAAGGAAAGAAATATTTTGGTAAAAATTAAAAAGCAACCTAAAAAAGAAATCAAATTGGAAGAGTTAAAAGAGGATGAGAAAAGAAACAACATAGAATCAATAATAGACGATTTAATCACATACGTGGAGACAAAAGAAATCGAAGGTAGCCTTTACAAAGTCGAAGAGAAAGAAGAATCCGATATAAATCAAGAACATCTGGAAGCAGAAAAAGAATTATCGCCTCTCATACACAAAAGGCAAAGAAAAAGCAAAGTGGCCTGGGAATTACAACGATTATCGTGCAAAGTCGTCAACGTCAAGGAAAACAACATCGATATCGTTTGCTACAAATCGCACTGCAATCTTGGTTGCCTATGCAACAGTCTGAACTCCGATCGCTACATAGCCACGCACTGCAAGAAGGAAGAATGCATGTTTGAGTGCACGTGTCCCAAAAAAGAACTCCCCAATTATGGCGACGAAAAAATATTCTCCTCTGGAGGGATTCTCTCCAACGATACGGTACATCAAATCGACGAAACGGCCAAGAAAGATTTGGCCAAGGTGGAGAAGGAATTCACGCATACTGTAATTTGTACGGATAATAAAGCCATAGTGCTAGGAGCTGGGGGTAAGTAAAATATTACTATTATACTGGGTGCACATGTATGTTAATAAAACTAGTCAACAGCAATTTGTATCCCGGACATTTAACAGTGAAAAATTGTCCGCTGAATTAAAAAAATTCCTTTAAAGTTATAAAAGTAGAACAGTTTTTAAGAAAGTGTTTTTACCTATTTAAAAATATCTTCGATACTAGTTGGCGGATTGGAATTTTTTTATACGAAATAAAAGGTAAACAAATTATCTTTCATTAATTTAGAGATCTCGTTCCCGGCAAAAAACGGCCGAGATTCTAGGCGTGCGCGGCCAAAACGAGAACGAACTCTAAGTAACCATTGCCTTTTCACTGCGAACGTATTTAAGTTGGTAATTTTAAATATTATTCTCTTCCGAGTTCACATTGTGAACTTTAAGAGCATTAAATTTATTGAGCAGAGCAATATTTGTCAAAGGGATGACCCTCGCATCGCCTGTCTACGTTATTACAAATAGACAATATAATTGTCATTGACAATTTGACGTAACAAATGTAAGTTACTTACTAAACGATTTTTTCGAATTGTGCATTTTTGTATATTTTTCCGATTTTGGTGGGACCTTATTAATATATATACAGGGTGTTATGTAATTAATGTTATATATTTTAATGGGTAGGTCTTCAGGGTCCATAAAGAAGCACCTGATACTTTTTTCAATTCGAAAGACTAAAAATAATTTGCAATAACTTTTATCCTACCAAAAAGTACTCTACGTGTCGACCAGGAATCGCGGATTAAACTTGTCTGTTACTTTTTAATGCAGTGTTGCCAAATGTAAAATTAATAGTTATTTGTTGCACAAGTGTTGAAAAGCGACTTTTTCATGCGAGTGTTTAAGTTGCTCACGAGTCCGTCAGGCCGAGAGTGCATTAACACGAGCTTGAAGAAAGCTTTTCTCACAAGTGAAACACAATGTTTTTTCTAAGACCCTTTTATTTTTTATTATATTTAAATACAAAACAAAATAACCTAAAAACGTGTTTGACAGCTGTTAAAATTACTTTTATCTTTCATCTAATTTTTAAGTTATAAGTTACTCAAAATCAATAAACTTACCTTCTCAATTTAAATAAAGGCACTAAAATTGGAATTTATTACACAAACACAATTAATTGTGTTCTAAATGATATTTAGACATACATATAAAAATACAATACAAATTTTGAAACGAATGTCAAACGATGCTGTCAATTTCTTTTCACACAGACCTGTCACTTTTCACACAGAAATGTCACTTTACATTCGTGTTTTGCCTTGACAATGAAAAGATTCATTTTCTAAGCAACGATGCCATTACGAAATGTGACTTTTACATGGTGGTCGTAGAAAAAATGATTTTCATTATTTATAATATAAGCTTGAACTCTGCTAAGCATGCTTAAGCAAAATTTCGCGCACCCGCACTTGTAAAGTATTGTAAAGGGAAGTGCTTTTGGATTTATTTACACAAATTGAATGTTTAACCTGTAAACTTGTCCTAATTTCATCAAAGTAAAGTGAAAAAAATTAATTTTGTGTCAGGGGGTTATGGAGTTTTTAAAATAGGTACTAAATTTTAAAAGCATTGCATTAGCTAAATACAGAACGGCGAACGTTTACATTTTGTACAAGGTAAGTAAAAAAAAGGGCATACAACTTTTTATTTATTTGTTACAAGTACAATTTTTAGTAAAAATTTTTTAAAACTGGCAACGCGCTGCTACTTTGTTGTTATCTATGTACCCAGAATACAAGTGTGTAACTAGTGGCCTTTTACAAAAATATAAACAACTTCTATTGCATATTTTTTCTTATCTTTATTTATTTTTTTAAATATTTTTCCTTTACACCTTATGTCAAAAGGTATTTAGTATTTTAATATATTACATTAAAAACATAACACCCTGTATATTTAAAATATTTAACATTTCCAGATTATCGGTTGACTATAGTCAACCGATAGCTATTTAAAAAGTTATTTGCCACTTAATTTTAGCAACTTTACACAAAATCATGAATTATACCCAGAATATATCGAGGGCGTCATATCAGAAGGGCGTAAGCGCCACTATGATCGGATTTAGGTTTTTTGGGCGTATGGGCTTATTGGTTGATACGCATGGGTTTATTGGTTGATACGCATAAGTAAAATGGGTTGATATAAAGTGCTGATGTTCACGAATCTATACGCCCTTTTGATATATCAAGCTGATTGATAAAATAAGCCCATACGCCCTAAAAACCCAAATCCGACCATAGTGGCGCTTACGCCCTTCTGATATTTTAGTTCCGTTTTTAAATGGGAGTGAATTATCAGCCCGACAAAAAGGGTGTATCAAGGACAAATTTGGTCATTTCGACGACAGTGACGATAGCGACCAAATAATTTTGTTCACGATAAATTTTAATGTTATAGTATATTGTGTAACAAGTTTGGAATTCAGCATATTCCGCTCGAGTGAAGAGTTTGTCACACGAGCCGAAGGCGAGTTTGACGGTTTCACGAGAGCGGAATATGCAATTTCAAACGTGTTTCAGACTATACTTTTTCTACGTTTCCAAAAAATACCATAGTAAAATAATTTAATTGGAAGAAAGTGAGGTTGGATCGGTCCAAAATTTGTTAGATATTAAAAACAGAGATGTCGCCACGAGTGTTTATTCTGTCATCAGATGATAGAATATTTAATTCTGTAACACTTTACGGAATATGTGTCATTCCATAGATAAAAGTGATATTAGAAAGGTCAAATTCCGTAATAGGAGTATAAAAAATATATTAAAGCACGCCAAAGGAAAGTATCGCACGTCAAAATGAACATTGCGCGACAAAATAGTAAATCGGACGACCCATTCCACGATTTCAAAAGTTTATTTAGCAACCAAAAAAGATTTTGAGATGGAAATTAAGTACAGCTCGGCAAATATATATATTTCTATAGAAAGAGATGCGAAATGTGTCCGCCCATCGATGCGCAGTGGACAGCTACCAAATGTGTCATTTACATTGAATTTGTTGTAGGACGCAGTGGTTAAAGTTAAAATCAATTATTTTAAAATTTATAAATATTCTCCTGTAATTTATATTCTTGAACAGTGGTAAAATAAAAATAAATAAAGTATATAAAAATGTATAATACTGTCATGTTATATATAGTCAGAAAATCAGAATCAGAAAATAAGTAAAATGTTTTGCAAGAATAATTTATTTAATAAAACCACATTTTGTCTTAAAAGAATCAAAGTTAATCATCTGAGTCCGAACTGCTGTCTTCGCTGCTCACCTCGCTGTCAGTTTATCTCTGGCTGTCACTGTCTGAAAATAAATAATTAAATCATTTATGACTAAATTCAAAGCCAGTTCCTTTTCCTTATCAAAATTTTTAAATTTTATAGCGTGGTGTGATCGCTTTTACCATTCTTCCTTGGAAAATGTATCTACTTCTGTAAAGTTAAAGTTCACATTTCTCTTAGCTACATAATTTTTAAGGCTGCCCAGACTAACTCGATAGGATTTTAGTCTGGGTGATATAGAGAAAGCCTCAAAACTGTGAATCCTGCATCCTTCATAATAGTAATTTTCTAGATTTTATACTTGGGTTTTTACTAAAGTATATAGTTCTGCTTTTTACATGTCTTCTGAAAATGGAATATTTTTTCTCTTAGCCATTCCTTCATCTCATTTTTTGAGTTTTGAGCCTGCGTCTGAACGTTTTGGTATGGTGCATTGTCTATAACCAGAACGCTATTGCTGTTGAGTTGGGTATTAGTTTTGCTTTCACCAATTTTGTGTAGTTATTGTAATTCATTTCTAAGTGGAAATTATTTATCGCCCGACTTTTAAAAGTGAGTTACCAATAAAACCCATTTCACCACCTGTATGTACAATAATATTCTTTTACACTTTGAAACTGGCTTATGTAATCCCTCGTTGGTGTTTTTATTCCAGCTTGTGGTTCATCCGTATAAACTATTAGGCGTTTTCCTTTCCTAAATTTTGTTGTTTTAAAAAAAATTCGATTATATCTAGTTTTTCTTTATCGAAACCTTATTTTTTCATGACTTTTCTTAACGATTTGTGTGATCCTGAATATCCGTTGACGAAGAAATTAATTATGGGTCAACAAAGTACTTCTCTATCAAAGTTATCCAATTGGGGTTTTGGTGCAGATTTTGTCTTTTTTTCGTTGGGTGTCAAAAATGAAGTGGAAGCACCTTCAACCCAGACAGCACATATATCCATTGGACGTCCAGCGGACGACCATTGCACATCCAAACGTCCAATGTAAGTCCATTTGACGCTTCTCGTTGTTTTTAAGAATCTGTATACTTAACTTTGATCAATACCACGTATAAAATCAATGCTGTTTCTATAATAACATCAATTTAGATTTCCTCAATTGCAAAAAGACCTAAATTATGAATGGTTTTGGCCACTTTTCGGCAATTCCAGTCCACTGTGCAACCGGCAATTTTCTCTTCTTATATTTGTCGAGCTGTCATCTCCAGTAGTGCGGCAAGTCGATGGAAAAATGTAGAAGATATAATAATTTTAGTTAAAATTATTTAGGTAGAATGGTTAAAATACGAGAAACCAACTACATTTAATTTTTGTTCATTTTTTTAGATGATGATGCTCTTAATCTTTATTCAGCGTTATAAAAAATTAAAATATTAGTGTAAAAATGAAAATTCTGTTACATTTTGGAGAGTACATTTTTGTGATTCCGCGTAAATTCACAGAAGGCCTACACCATTCATTTTTAATGTGGATGAAAGGCGCAAAATATGTATAACTTAGGAAAAACTAATTTTAATGTACGTAAATGTACGCACTTAAATAGAAAAACAGTTTAAAAATAATTTCTTTTCACTGTTACTTTATCCTTTCCTTAACGCGTCTAATCCACTTACTCTGCCGTCACGCAGCTTACTTATATAACCAACCGGTTTCAGAAGATTCTGTTTTCTATCGATTTTTTCTCTTTTCCTACAATCGCCTTTCCACCACTTATAATGATTCTCAATGATTCCTAATTTAATTTAACTATTTATGCATATAGGTAGTTTGAATGGTTTTACAAGGCATCTCGATTTTTGTCAAAGACATTACAAATTTTATTTTAATTTAAAATGCATTTGTGGACCTAAATTTGTGCGTAGTCACAAAAATGTACTTTTTACAAACAAACAGAATTCGTTAGGATCACTCATTATATTAATTTAATAAACCCACTTGGACAGATTAATAAAAAACAAACGTACTTACTTCTAGCATTTAACTAAATGGTTATACCTTCTACATTTCTTACCCGATTTTATTAAGAAGTGGCCTATTTTATTTATTATAGATTAGGCTTTAACATCTTATATAAGAACAAGTCTAAAAAACTTTCGTGGGTGTACTTATAATCCAAAGGAAAAATGTTAAATATAGAAAAGGTAAAGAATTTATTTATATAATGTTAATATAAACTGCACTGTTACTATTAACATTATATATATATATATATTGATATATCAACATGAAGTTTCATCAAGTAAAAGTCGAAACAATTAAGACTTAAAATGTAAATCTGAAACTATTATAATAATTATTAAAGATATTTTAAATTAAGTAAAAATACTTTTTATTATGGAAAATATAAAAAATTTCTACTTTCATACGTTTTGACGGCATTTTTTGATTCAGTTGATGATTTTAAACCGAAATTGAGTTTTTATTTGTTTGGGATCCGATTTTTATTTATTTTCAACCTTATTACAGATCGTAAACTAAAAAGGCTGACCAAAGCGCCCAAAAAGTATGAAGATTATATCGAGAGCACCTTCATTGAAGAAACGGAAGATAACCCACCGAGTGTAGGTGTTTCTTACGATTTTCCGCCGTGTTTTTTACAATTGCAAAAACTGAATTTATCTGGAGTTGTGCCCTTTTGCATGGATCACTCTCGCTACAAATGCGACTGTATTTATGTCAGTTCATCCGAATGTAAATTAATTAGAATACAAAAAGCGTTAAAAGTTAAAGATTTCGATTGTGCTCGCTTCAGAACCGCTTATCATTACGTGAAAAGGAACAAAAATAAAAATTACAACAGGTTCTTAATGTCTTTGTTAAAGGAAAAGGAAAAATTAATCGCTGACGACGATTATTACGTAAATATTTACAGCACCGAATTCCCGAAACCTCTCATAACAGACGCTGAAATCCTTAAGGAAGCTTTGGAGGGCCTTAAAAGCAACATTCTTAAAATCCACCACGCCAAAGCCAACAACAACGTTTTTATCGAATCCCCCCGAGCCACCAAAAGAAAACAGAGCTTTTCGCAGATTTTTACCGATGAACACGACAAAGCAATACAGCGTAGGAAAAAAATACGGCCTGTGTTACCGACCCCTGAGCCGATTTTCGACGGGGAAGTGTTAGTTAACGACAAAAATTCCGAGCTATTGAAACACTTGGAGGCATCGCAAATCGGTTTTGCCAGATTGTTGCCTTGGAAGGCATTGCAAGATAGCTTCATCAAAGGCAAAGTTAAACTATGGACTCAAGCCAGTAAAATGCGTAAGTTGTATATAAATACGTTCGATAAAGTTATACCAGACGGTTGCTTTGATATTAGAATATACACCCCGGATATAGACGTGTGTAGGTGGTTGTTAACCAACAAATTACCGGAGAAGTATCACCCGGAAAATATATCGTTTATTCTACGCGAGACAAAGTGTGGGAATTTTGAGGTGTGCGGTATTTGTAATAGACACGTTGAAGGACTAAAACCTGATGTGGAAACTGTTGAAGATGATGTTTACGATGAAGATTTGGTAACGACTTTATCGCACAAAGATAAAGATAATGCGCTTAGAGTGCTATTGGAAAAAACCCTAGACTGTGAGAGGCAAAATTTGCTGTGTGAAAATCAAGTGGTTTCAAAACTGTACCTAGTACAGGCCAAAATACCGGATATATCCATAAATTTCCGCTGGCGCATGCTGACCTTAAAAAGCGACTTCACCTACCTCCACTTTAAAAACAATGAGTATTCTATTAAATATACAATCCTATCGAAAACGCTGGAGAGAGCCATAGAGAAACAACAAACCATAGTGTTAAAATCATCGTTGCTATGCAAAGGCTACCATCACCGCGACTTTGGCATTTATTTCCCCCCCGATGCAACCAACAACATCTTCATAGGGCCCTACATGTTCTATGAGGACCACAAATTGGAAACTCTACGCTACATAAGCCAATGCCTAGTCGATACAGAATCATACAACAAAATACAAGGCAATAAGTTAGACGCGCCCAACTCCCATTGGGTGCACCACAATTCGAGCAAAGTCAGGACGAAATACCCCACGATCACCAAACCGATAATCGCCCCCGAAGATCCGGCGCCCGTGGTGGATCTCACGTCGGATACCGAGGACGAACCAAATACGTCCCAAATATCGACCATCGATAAAGTTGTTGTTTTAGAGGGTGTACCGAAACAACCCGAAGAATTCAACAGATACATCATTTCGAACATCCCCAATTTTGGTTATGTTGGAGCCTACTTGCACGAAAGTACCGGGCAAATAGACGTTTCGTGGCCCTTTGAGAAAAAGATTTTAAGGTTCAATAACAACGATCAAGCTGTGTCATTTTTGGAAACGTAAGATAACTACGTGTTAAAAAACAGGTTTTATATATAATAATTTGTATTTTTAGACGGTTTTCGCATTTATTAATAACCATACCGTCCGATTTTAACATCACAATGACCATAGTTGAAGAGTTGGATCTACAATTTCACAAAGCCATGGACCCAAGGTGTCTTATTGGACATTATGTAAGTTAATAAGTTATTCCAAATAAAATAAACAAAAAAAAAGAATAAAAATTACAAATTTTTATCGAGCATTTTTTCTAGATCTGTGGTAGATTCGGAGCATACGATGCCAAAAAAATAACGGAAGAAGAAGCAATGACGCTATGTGGCGTATCTAGAAATTACATTTACCAAATGTTAAAAAAACGAGCAAATCAACTCGTTATTGCTAACATGCAGGCATTTGCAAAATCACTGAATTTATTCGAAGGCGAACTAAAGTCTGCTGATGTCACAATTGTTTTAGAGAGGGTAAGTAATGTAAGTAACTTTATAAAAAAAAATTATAATTTTATTTTTTCAGGCTTGTGATACGATAAGAAGACTGCGAAAAGAGGAAGTCGAACTCTTAAGAAATAAATTAGTTCTGGAAAATCGAAAAAGGGTTTTAAACGAACGTGCACAAGGGTTAATCTACGAAACCAATAATGTTAAGAAAACAGATGTGATAGAAGAAGGAAGCATTAGAAGATCAACAGTAAGAAAGGTAATATTTTTTTGTTTAATATAATAAATGTACATCTGTTATATTTTAAATATTTTTTTAGAAATCCAGATCAGAAATTCCAAAAACGGGCGGTTTTACAATAAGCACAGATGAGGTAATAGTCCTAGATTAATTTAAAAGTCAGGATGTTAATCTTCATTGCCCAAGAAATATTAGGTTTATTGTCAAAATCTAAATTTAAATTTGTTATTTCTTTATAATAATTGTTAGATAATTACTTTGATTCATTGTGATACTTGTATATACGTTAATTACAATTCTTTATACCAAATGCAATGTTCTTTCTTTTATTTCTTAGGTTCGTCAAAAATCCGCCAAACAACTGCAATCGACTCAAAATATGAAGTCGATTTTAAAAACGTGCCAACCACCCTTTCCTTACAAGGCGCAAACAAAAAATACCCAGCCGAAAATACTTTCTGGCGTTAAAATCGTTAAATCGGCCGATGGGAAGTTGTTTTTGGTTTCGAAAAATAAAAATACCCCCATCAAAAATGATACTATAACATAATATGCTATATTATATGTATGTAATACATATGTATGGAGTGTTGAAATGAATTTATTAATTTATGGAGAACAACTACGTTTAGTTCAGTCCATCCATTATTTTTTCTTTAAGAATTGTGATATTTTATTTAATTAATATAATTAATTTAAAGCCAATTGTTGTGATTAAGAATAAAATATGTTTAAATGAAACGTTTAGATATTTTATACCCTTCTTATGAACGATGAAATTAAAATTATGTACCAGTCACTGAAAAAATAATAACTTTTAAATTTACACCAAATTTTGTTACAAATTAATAACACTTGTTGGCACTTCTAGAAAAACTGGAAAGTGCATTACTTTTTTTATCGACTGTACCTACTATTTGTGCTTTATACAACCCAAACAAAAAATACATAGCGATTTAAGACCCCAACACCCCATTATTTTGGAATGCGTTGATCGATTTTTTGGGACATTGTACTCGATGAGCTATATGACAACGTGGAAACATTTAAAACTTCCCCACATGGTCAAATATTGAGTACTATGTCCCAAACAAAAACGGCCGATGGTCAATAACCGATCTTGCAGACGTCGGCCCGCCGTCAATAGGAGACAGCGGCATGATATTTTTATTTAATACTCTAAACGTACCTATATAACCATCATAGCCATCACAAACGCATACGCATAAGTATTGCAACGCATCGCTATTTATATACGCTTTAGCGTGCGTAAGCAGCGTGGAGTTGTATCCCTGTTAAAAATCACCCATAGAAACCAATAAAAAATCAGAATGGAATGAATTGGTCTTTATTGGGCCTATTGGTTTCTCAACAGAATTAGCATTGGTTTCTATTGGTAATTTCCGTACTGGAAAATGCCAATAGATTACCTAATGGTCTGAATTGGTTTTTATAAGAAGTTACAAGTACTTACAGGAAATTCCCAATTGAAATTCAATTGGTAAATACCACTTAAATGTTCAGCGCCTGCGCAATTTAATACAAATGACCACTTGTTTCTATTGGCAATTTTCTTACTGGAAAATACCAATAGATAAACTAATGGTCTGAATTGGTATTTTATCGGTGTGTAGGTACAAGGAACCACTTTGAATTTGTTATTGGGATTTTCAAAATTCGCCAATAGGTAGGCAACCCATGCATACCTCTCGCCTCTGTAGCACAACCCAGCAAGCACAAACATCCTCAGGACGTCCTTGGACCAGCCTAAATGTCCCAGAATGGGATGGTCCTATAAGGACCTCCTAAGGACGTTCATAGGTTGACCTTATCGGACATTAGATCTTTTTTAGGTCCCATTTTGGGATATCCTAGGAACGTCATTTAAGGATGTCGTTAGGACCTAATAATATCCTAATTAAAGCCTAAAATGGGCTGATCATAGGACTAATCCCAGAGACATCCTCAGAATGTCCCGTTAGGTTTTGGTAAACATTTGGTATGCACATTTTTCTATAAGAATATTTTATCCATATAATTAATAATACCTACATTTTTTTACATAACTTATTTTGCATAGGCACATCTTAAAAATGTCAATCAATATAATTATAATATTATATTATATAGATATATTTTTTTAAGTTTTTTAAGTTTATAAACGACTTGCATACTATATTTTTTTTACGACAATCAAAAAAATTAAATAACTTTAAACAATTATATATAAATAATTATTTATAAAATCTGACATCGACCAGTCTATTCTAACCTCACTTTTTAGACCCTTTATTTTGATGGTCATTGTTTGGCAGTTGACAACTGCAATTAACTTCAACCCATGACTAAAAAGTCCGAATGCCATTGCTGCCAACTTCAGCCCGTGACTAAAACGCCATAAAGCCACAACTTGTCAATGTGTATTTAAAATATCATGGAAACATGTACGATAATCGGCGTTTTAAAGGCGGGAGTTTAAAAACAATATTATATTTTGTGTATTTGTTATATGACCACAAAATATATTTTGTATACAACTGGATAGCAGCCAACTTAATACACATGCGCAGAAATGACGGCTGGTAATTAATAATTGTTCAAACACCTTGTTTCTAAGGTATTGATACATTTAGAGTTTTATAAATAATAAATAAGGTAGTAAGCGTCAGTTAACCTTAAAAATGTAATTACAAACGCAATCTATAACTTATTTAATAGTTTGTGTTACCGATTGTTTTAAATTTGCCGCCATACGTTATGGTGGTAACCATTGTCTATGGTGGTAACACTGGATGGAGAGAAAGCTAAGATGCCGTGAATTCTTTTTCTGTGTCGTGAACCTGGTTTAAGGCCGTGAATCTCGTGTTCTCCAAGTGTGTTTGTTATAATATAATATTATTATAGTGTTCTCTTCTCACTCATTCAAAAAATTGCTATCCGCACGCATTACCGTGCGAAAAGTAAATGCGTGCAGAAAGTAGCAACTTTCCGCACGATTGTAGAAAACATATTTTTTAACAAATGGAAACTTGCAAGATTCCCTTGCTTGTAGAAAAAACATTATACCTATTATAACACGCGCAGAAATTGTCTTTTCCGTATTTGACTGCTAACTGAAATAGAAGTAGCAACTTTCCGTGTGCTTGAAGAAAAAAGTTAATAATGGAATCTGATAAAGAAAATTGCGAGATTTCCTTTGCTTGTAGAAAAAATTTTGTTCTGCATACATGCGCAAAGTAATTTTTTCGCACCTAGGTACTGATTTCCCGAATTCCGCTTCGCGTCGTTTGTGTGCGGTAGCGTGCGAAGAAATATAGATAACTTTGCTCACTTGCTACGAAAATAACTATAGGTTTTAGTTTCCACACTCGTTTATTTTTGTTTTTCATAATAAGTATATATGAATGTGAATTTATCTATAAGTTAACTTATAATTGAGGAGCATCCGTGCAAAACCGGCTAAATCCGTTTTATTCAGTTTTTGTTTTTATTTTATTTCGCATCTTTGGGTTCATTTCTATCGACAACCAAGATAATTCTGTTTAAATCCGACTATATCCATGTTAAAATCACATTTAAAAGGTAGCTTTAGGAGCAAAACCGGCCAAATCCACGTTTTTATAGCAAACCCGGCTATATCCCATAAATAATAATGATGATGAGCATGTCGCTTGGATATGTCGATACTACTACTAAAATTTTTTCCGTTTTTTCATGTTTGCACTAAATTTATTTTGTTAATATTTTTGAATAATAAAGGTTTTTTTTCACATTTTATTCTGTTTCTGAGCAAAACCGGCTATGTACAAAACATTTTTTGAAATTTTGGCCTTAATATAAAGTTTTTGAAAACGAAAGTATAAATCAAGTACCGCAAAGCCCACAAAACTCAAGTTTGCTTTTTCTTTTATCTGCAAAGGCCAGGAAACCGAGAGTTTTTGCCATTTTCCAACATTTTATTAAAGTGGATATAGCCGGTTTTGCACGGATGCTCCTCAATTATAAATAAATGAATAAATTTTTTACTTTCTTTATATGAATAAAAGGTACTATACCGTAAACTTGGGTGACTTTAAACACCTTAGGTGACTTTGGCCTTTTGTCAGTATTTGTTTATACTGAGTATATTTTCAAATACAATTTTACAATTTTTTTACTGTCGAAAAGATTATTTGTAGAGAGTGACGTCATTTAGTCTATAGGTCGTTAATAGTCAAATACACCAAATCTTAAAATTTTGTAGGTACAAAAAATGGGTGGCCAAAGTCGGAAGCCAAAGCTGGGTTGCTTTGGGCACCGTTTTTTTTTTGATGAAAATGCAAAGATAAGGGAGTAATCATGCGGCTTTGGCCACTAATATATATTTTTTTATTGTTAATTCGACAAAAACAACTATAAAACATAACATGAATTAAGACGAGATATACTAGAGTATCAAAAGTATGTGTTAAAAATTGGGAACTTAAATGAAAAGAATTTTGATAAGATATATTGCTTTATTAATCAATTTCCTAAACAAAAAAATTAATACATACCTACATAAATGAACACAAATATAACATACACACAATTTAATAACACACCATTCTGAAATCATCAAATTATAAAGAAATTTGGTACAATATAACTATCAGTCAAGGGCGTTGATAATTTTTATAATTTATAAATAATTTTGAAAAACTTTTGTATATTGGGAAAAGGATTATAAGGTACCAAAACTAAATATCTCATAAACATAAACATATATTCTTTTTTAAGTACCTATAGGTAAACTTTTTAAATATAAAATTCAAATTATAAAATTATAATGTCTTTTTTTCATTTTTGCAAAACGATCCTAAACCTTATAAATATTTAACTAGACTTTAGTACTTCAGAGATGGGCACACTGAAAAAAAAATTCTTGTATCAAATAAATTTATTTGATTCTAAACAATCTTTGTCTCATATAACGAAGAGAATATATATTCTTTAATATAGTAAAGTATTTTCTTAATTCACGTTGATTTACTTCAAGAATCTTTTCTTAAGGTAAGAAAATTAAATTTTTTTATATAAAACTTTGATTGTTTAAAAGCAAGAATATATAATTTTTGAAATAAGGCAGCAAAATTTTTAAATAAAAAAAATATTTACTTAATTCAAGAAAATGTATTTTCTTACAAAAAAAATCCGAAGTAGGTAAGATATTGAAATAACAAAATATATACTTAAATAAAAAAAATGATTTCTTTAACCAAATAATTGGTTGTTTTAAAGCAAGAATATATTCTTGCTATATATGTCCTTTTAAATATATATATATATGTTCTTTTAAAAATAAATCAGAGGTAGGTATTATAAATAAAAATTCAAGAATAAATTTTCTTAAAAGAAAAACAATTGATATTGAAATAAGGCAATAATTTTCTTAAATAAAGATGTTTTCTATAACAAAATATTTTTTTTTAATTAATAGATACAAGATTTAAAATTTTATTTTGTTGATTACAAAATAATATTGTAGCGAGTACGGCTCTGGATCTCGGAATGATGAGTCATCGCCGATGAGTCATCGCCGGTGACTCAGCGCTCGAATAATCGAGAGTGTGGAGCTCGCTGGAATGTTCCAGAAGACGTAGGCGCTGAATATATAAGGAAAGACGCATCATGGAGAGTTAGTTGAGCTTTGGTACTCGCGAAGAAATAAATAAATATAAGTGCAAATAAATAAACTAGTAGTGATATATATAATTAGTAG